AACCTTAGCAGAGGAAAGGCCGTCCTGAGCTTGAGCTGAAATGACAATGACTTGAAGGGGAAGGCTGCTGAATCTCACTCGTAGCATTTTTAAATGTTCTGAAATGTTTTGGAAAATCAAAAAATAGGAGTGTACACATATTATTGAGAGACACAAAGGAAATTAGCAGAAGAAACAATTAAAAGAGTTGAAGGTGATCAAACCTAAAGAAGAGATTTGGAGATGAGGAGGCATGGGGCAGAGACTGCTGCTTTTTCATCATGATTTTTATAATGCTATTTAACTTTAAAGTTATGTACATGTGCAACTTGGATAAAAATTAAAAATTAGTTGTGAAAATTAAATCTACCTATTGTGACCCAGAAACATGGAAAAACAAGAGGTCACACAGTGACGAAAATGGTTAAGATTCCACCTGGGTTGGGTTTTCAAACATTTCACACACATGGTGATAAATGCAGAACCATCTGGAAGACGACACACAGAACTATTAACAATTAAAAACTAAGTCTGTTGTTATTCCCTTTCACTGAAGTCTTATTGCTGTCTACATACATTTAATGTAACTAGTCCAGTTCAGAAACATGGGGAGATGCTGAATGTATTTTTCCTCTCTCATCTCTGCCCAAGTCTGACACCTTTATACTAATCATGGATGACACAAAACTGAAGCCGAAATAAACCCCAAAGCTCACTGCTAACCTAAGCACTGGCCCCATTAAGTGTCAAACAGAAACAATCACGTTATTATCCTGCTACTGGCAGCTCAGAGAGGCTACCATATGAGACCCGCCCTGGAGACAAAAGTCCTAGAATCAGAAGCGCCCGCCCCAAGTCTTACCCAGTTGCCACTTGTGGGAACACATGGTCTCCATCATCCAGATGGGCAGGGCCGGCTCCAGCATGGCGATCCCCATGTTTGCAAAGCAGATGGACCCTTTAAGGGAGAAGGGGGTTAGTGTGCTTCTGTTTTGGGTCTCGAATGTCCCCTACCATTTTCAAACACAGTTACATCCCTCGTGCCCACAGCTAGAACAGTCAGCTCGGATACCCAAAACTTCTCCTACTTTTGGAAGAAAAAGATAAATAACAGGTCAAGGTGGTTAATAGGGTGGGCTGTGTTTTAAATTATTATTATTACTTAAAACAACCAGAATAATCCCAGAATCATAAAGTTTGGAACTGGACTGAGGCTTAGAGATCACTTGGCTTAACCATCCCAATTTGTTAATGAAGAAAGGGAGTTCCAATTTATTAATGAAGTAACTTGCCTGAGGCTACCCAGCAGCTCAGGCCACTTCCAGGCCACACACAGACTCAGGTAAACTGAGGCTCCTACACCTGTTTCACTGTGCAACGAACACAGGTTATTTCTAATGAGGCCCTTGGTTACCTGAAAATCCAGTGCATTCAGTGCAAATATGCTGCTGAGGGATTTTTTTTTAATCAACTATACCTACAGGGTATCCATGCAAATATCCATTATCACTGTGTTAACCAGAAGCCTCTGCAAATGCAAGACCATCTGGGGAAGAAAACACATGAAACTACTACCCTCATCGTTTTGAGAGCATCCTGTGCTGGGCACCGTGGAACCTTTAATTTGCTAGAATCTTGCTTCAAAGAACATTGTGCGACCGTGATTAAGGTGCTCACATTAGGGAGAAAACTGTTTTCACTTCATAATCATTTAAAGACAGAACACAAAAACGATGCTGAAAAGGTTGGACTCCCCTCACCCACCTGTTCCGTGTTTTCTTAGATTCTGTATGTGTCTTTTTGACATTAATTACAGGGCCAAACAACCAGAGTTGTTCCCATCTCCCCTGTGATCCAGGGGCCATACCCTGACACCTCCTTATCTAACTCTGACCCACCAAACCAGTATCCTCCGCCCAGACAACTGGGGGAGGGCACCCAGATGGGAATTATTT